AAACAGGGAAAGTTCAAGGGTGGTCTACTCTATTTCATGTTTAATATTTTATTAACTGTCAGCCTGGCTAGCTGGCTGGTTGGGAATATAGACAGTCTGCTGTTCTCCAATACGATGGGAATATTACTGTATCTTGTATGTTATTTTAACACAATGTAGTTCAATTTTGTTGCATGGTTTGTTTAGCAAAGTTGGGATTAAAAATGAATACAGGTAACTTAATCTAGTTATTCAACTTTTAAAGCCAATATCAGGAAAATTGAGTATCAATATTTAAAGGAATAGATCACTTGAAGTTTTTTGATCTGAATTCTTGAGGACTACATGACTTTAGTTTCTATGTAGAAAATGTCAAGGCTGAATTTATCATTCTTTAAAAATAGCTGAAGTAATCCTAGAATAAATGTAGAAATATTACACACAGACTGAGTGTTGTAAGCCAACTTGATGGTTTAACTCTGTGTTTGTTCAGGATACAGAAAGGTCAGTAATGGGACTGTTTTGTACTCAATGAATCGCCTTTAACTTCGTCCAAATTCGTCCAACTTCGACATTCTTGGCATTTCTCACGTCCACAGTTTGACAATTTTCCAGAAATTTGTCAATCATTCATGATATTACTTCACTGCATTGTTCGTCTGTAGATTGTGAAAGTGTTTAAAATTTAAACAGACAGACTTTGAAATGTTGTGAATTGTGATTCACATCTGACAGGCTTTGAAATTGTGTTTTATGCTTGACAAACATTTGAAATCACCTACCAAGTTTTATTGCATTAATTCCAAAAGGAACAAAGTTGTCTTTCTGCTTGATAACTAAGGGTCAAGGGTTTGATCTTGGCATCTGGCAAAATGATAGGTTTGTAAACACTATGGCTTGAAACCCAGTAAGAGCTAAGATTTTCTAGCCTGTGTATGTATATCAATTATATATATAGCTCTTATTTGTTACATTCTTGATCAATTGTAGTTCGAGTGATCCCAGAAAAAAACAGATTATGATGTCAATATTGAAAAATAGCTCCTACTGTAATCATGGTTCTTGTCCAACTGTGGTTCCTGTAATTTCTAGAAGAATTTTGACTCGATTACGAAACACTAAAAACCCTTTTAACTTGAAACTCTTATAAACCCCTTTTACATTACATAATTTATCCGTTCTCAGAACAGTTCTCAAGACGGAATAGATGAATTTTGGGTAATGTAAACGTTCAAGTGGAGAACAGAATGGCCTGGTGTAAAAGGGGCTGAAGTCAAGTGTGAAAACAATTACTGATTGTTCTTTCTATATAATAATCTGAACAATTGTCATCTATAAATTTTATTACCTTTATTTCTCTGTTTAAACAATGACAGCTATTGGCAGGGTATAATTTGAAAGATTAAGTTTCAAGTCATCAGTTTAGATTATGACTTTGAACTTTAGTCCACCAAGATTGGGGAAGGTAAATGTTGTATTTTAAGAAGATTATTAGAAGATTGAAGTTACATGTTATTATATTATATAGTGTTAGTTAGTTTTAAAATACAATGATAATCAAGTGACAAAGAGACACCATTTTAAATAGGTGATCAATATCTAAATAACATATCTTTATTTTAGTTAATGTTGATGGCAAGTCTGAAATAAAGCAAAATTACTAAGCAATGTATTTTATATGAATAATTTGCCAGACAATCTTGTCATTTTTATGAAATGCAAGATGATTTTAGTGTTTTGATCATCTGATACATATTTTTTACATGGAGAGCATGTCTTATCTCACTAACAACACGGTCGAGAGGACTGAACTAGGAAAGACAAGTACAGATCAGTTAGGAATAAAGTATGTTCATGTCATTCACTGATTGTAATCAAAGACTGAAACTCATTAACAATATGGACAATTCATGATTATCATCATTGGCATCAAATTAACAGAAATTCCATCACAGTGCCATTAATCCTGATAGTCTGATAGTCTGTAATTAGTGATTATTGTAATTACCTGAGGTAATTAATTTGAAAGATATTAATTTGCGTTAAAGGGATTGTAAAGAGGTCTCTGAAATTATAATGTGTATCGGGAACACTGATAGCATCAATTTTTAATCAGACGTCTGTAGTTCATACAATACCACAAAAAATAAGTGTTTGATGACGTCACTAATAAAAAAAAATGCTTTATCACATACAGCCCTTCGCAATTAGTAATATCATCAATCACTTAGTTTAAGTGGAATTGCAGGAACCACAGACGTCTGATTGAAAATTGGAATGGTGCAAATTGATTGTATCAGTGTCCAAATACATAAAAAGTGTAGAAAACTCTCTTCAATAGTTGGATATTGACAAATATGAATAGAATTGCTTTTCTACTCCTGATTGTGAAGTCAGACAACACCATTCAATGTGTAATGAAAGTGTCATAGTAGCCTTCTACTCCAATTTCCAACTGTCTTGTGGAGACTGTTTTATATTACCAACTATGATCTGTAGCACACTGGGTCTCCACACTGGGCCTCACTGGGTCTCCACACTGGGCCTCACTAGGTCTCCACACTGGGCCTCACTGGGTCTCCACACTGGGCCTCACTGGATCTCCACACTGGGCCTCACTGGATCTCCACACTGGGCCTCACTGGATCTCCACACTGGGCCTCACTGGATCTCCACACTGGGCCTCACTAGGTCTCCACACTGGGCCTCAGTTTATTTTTCCAAATTTTCTGTGCCTCTCACCAGAAATGGTGTAAAATGTTGCTTACATGATATGAGTCATAAAAATATAAAAAAAGTTTAAAATTTCATCATCAGCTGCAGATGTTAATTTTATTTTGTGTCAGACTTTAAAACTAGGTTACCAGACATGTGGAATTGGTTAAATGATGAATTAATTTCATGCTGATAGTGTGAGAAAGTTTATTGGTGGATACAGTTAGGTTTATTACATTATTAGATTTAGAATGTAACAACAATCAGGGGTCGTCTGCTTCACAAGATTTTACTGAGATATAATCCAGCTTTTAAAATATTAAATGAAATTATTTTGACGTCAAACAACACCAACACCAGTCTTATTTGTTAAAGGTTTTGGTAAAAAATGTAAAAGGTACTATTCTATCTAAATATTTTAATTGTCTTTTCCGTCAGGACAATTATCATTCAGTCATAAGACACAAGATAAGATAATATTATAGACTAAACACAGATCTTTAATATAATATTAAACACTTAATGTTTCAACACAAAGAACATCATTAGATAAAATGATTATCGTTATCTAATGTTTTTTATATTAAGAGTATAAAATGGTTGGTTTATGTTAAAGGGTTTTTGCAATGTCAATTTGCTCTGGCAATTAATGGCGTAGATCTAATATTTGCACTAATTGATTATGTTAATTATATTGATTTGTCTGGTGTATATTGAACAGGGATTATATATAATTGACTGGTAGTGATGATAGAGTCATGTAGGTATTTCCCTCTTACTCATAGATTACATACATACATCACCATATTTCATATTATTCATTTCAAACCAGTAAAATCATGTTTTTATTGACTCAATATTTAAAGGGACCATATTGGATTTGTTATCTTTTCGTTTAGTTATTACCAGTTTAAAGGTGCATTACCACAATTTTGTTAGTTTTCAATGATTGTAGATATTATAGGAGAATTTCAGTTTCAGTTTCATTTCAGTTTCATTTCAGTTTCATTTCAGTTTCATTTCAGTCATTTCAGCATTTGAATTTACTCCCGTTTTCACAATTTCACTGACTCAGATCAGTTATTTCATTATTCATTGTTGAAACTGTTAAATAGTGAACTTTATAGTCTGGTGTATTTGTGAGGTTCTATAACACAGTCGGTTAAAACGTTGGTTCCTAATATGACGTCATTTGCTTGGTTACATTGAGCGAATTGCTGGGTTCAATTCTCGATCAGTCTGATGACCTTGAATAAGTCAACTTCACTCATAATTCCAGTCAACCCAGCTGTAAATGGGTATAGATAATCCGGGAAAGATCAATGCCAAGAGGTCTGGTCAAGGATCAGCTGGTAGAAAGGATCCTTAACTGTGAACCTAAGTTGTTATCCTTGTAAAATATAGTTGTTTGTTTCTTTCTTTTCTTTCTCCCCCCTTAACTTGATATCTGTTGTAATGTATGTAACAGTTGAACCTTGTTGATTGGTTGATGTAATAGAATGAAGATTGTTTAACAATAATCGTGTATTAAAAATGATATTAGATATTATCTATATGTCTAATTTGATGTATCTTTAAATCTTCTCGTCACACCTGAAATATATTTCCTCCAGAACTGACTCATGTTATATTTTTATTGATTGATTTTATTTCTATTATTTCAATAATTAACCAAATCACCATTCATTATTTTCTTCTGGTAAAAATGAAATGAAAATATTGATTTTTTACAACCTATTGTCTGCAACTGAATGGGCTAATGGAGATGGGGAAAGCCATGCAGTGTGCAATGAGGGAAATTTTGCCAGCATAAACTTATTCTTACTGTTATACATTGTGTTAGAACGTAGTCTCATAAAAGCACTGGCCTAGGTCACAAAGTATAGACTCATGTTAAAACAAGGTGTAAAAGATTAGAATTATTAGAAAGTTAATTATGCATGGTTAAGATTAAAGGGAAAAAATTTCTGAAAAATAAGAATTAGACCCCATCTGTAATATGTAATGTGTGACTGTCTAGGGATTTTAACTTGACCAGCCAGTAAAAAAAAAAAAGAAGATGTAATTCAGCAATTGAGTGTCAAATGTTCCTCTGTTTTCCACCCCTTTCAATTTCACCACCCTTGGCCGAGTTTTTAGTTCACCATGACCTACGTTTATTCCGTCTTCCATTATCTGTGGATGTTAAACTACATTTTATATATTATTTATCTAGACAAATATTTCAATATACAAAAAGAAAAAATGTTGCAGCTTGTTAATAATGTTATATTTTTCTACTTTCAGAAATGAATTAAGAAGTAACCATGGCGAGTCAGAATAACTCTTCATCAGACGTCTTCTACCCTGACGACCATGAACTCTCTCGTCATGGAGGTGTATATAGTCCTCTTTCACAATATTCCACATATTCACATGAAGTCAAATACATTTTCAACCCGATACAAGACGATGATCCGAACGCTGATTATTCATTAATTTCACCACGTACCAAAACTAACAATGTTCAGATACAAAATTCGAGAACGATGAGTTCCAGTTCTCTCTATTCCGATCATTCCTCGGTGAAAGATGTCAATATTGGAGTGCCTCATTCCCAGTCTGGATATTCTAACTATAGTCTAGTGAGTCAAGCTCGACGGAAAACCCGATCACCATCAGTCACGATGAATAATAACTCTATTCATAATAACTCTGTGAGTACAGGTAGAGATGTAATTAGACAGTGTAACGTACAATATATCATGGATATACCACCCCCACCCCCCTTATACGAGGATGTAGAACGTGTACCCCCTAAACTTGCCCCTATCAGTGGTGTCCTGCCTCAGGTATGTTATCTTTATATTAATTATTTAAAATATTTGTTGTTTTATATAGACTATTTATATGACAGTTATAAAGTATACTAGTTGGTCTTATATAGGACAATACCTAGTTCATTATTAAAGCTATTGTCATTTTCTATAACAAGCTTTTTCACTCTCAATTTTTCAAAATGATTAAGATTTGAGTTTTAATATTGAAAGTATTTGTTGTTGTATATGTAGAATATTTATAGTTGGTCTGTTATCAAAGTTAGAACAATACCTTTATATTGTTCATTATTACAATTAAATATATTAGTCATAGTTATAGCCTGTTAGCTTGCATATTATAATAGCTTTCAAGATCAAATTTAGAGAATTATAAAGCTCCCTGTATTATTTTTTTGAATCGTTTATTTATTTACTTGACAATATTTTCAGGACTAAAATTTGAGATTAGGGGACAATAAAAAAACAGTGGAGTAGCTAGGCCTTTATTGACAGGGAGGGGGGCATCTGAATACCTTGACTCCTCTTTTAGATTTTAAAGTATACTATTTGCGAAGGGGGGGACATGTCTAATCTAGGGAGGTGGAGAATGCATCTAACAAGATTTTGGCAGTTAAAGTAGAATGAATATTTCAATGATTAACAATGGCTGTTATGTTATTTGTAAAAGGGATATTTTCTGTCAGGTTTTGAGAAAGGTAACAAAGTGATATTGAGGATGATTTAGGTATTTTTAGTTCAAGTTCAGTGTCTTTAGGCGTTCAGGAGAGATTAATGACTTATCATGAGTTGATCTAGTCATTTGTAAATATTTTTATTTGAAATGAATCATCTTTCATGTTGTTTCTTGTCAGTCAGGGATGTGCTCATAGGTCTGTCTGATAAGAAGGGTCGTCATTGTGTATCATGTTTTGTTTCAAGAGGTAATTAGTAATGCAGGGCATGCTTACAATTCTATAACACCTGCCTGATACCACTCTGCATCTGGGTGTATAAACATGATATCCCTTTCAGAGAGTCCACATATCTCGTCTTGCTTATTTGTATAATTAATGACATCAGAAAAGAGAGAAATTTGATTTTTACGGAGCACCCTATGACCTGTTGTAACAATAGAATCTATGTCTTTATAATCTAATTACAAGTTGTTATTTTACACTGCACTGGTTGTCCTGTATAATGTCGGAATGGAGCTCGTATTTCAAAGGGAGGACACTTACATTAAAATGTTGAATTTTTCCTAGGCTCACCGGGTCACAGTTTTTTGGCAACAAGCATCACATTTTGTACTTTATTGTCAAGGTGGGCTAGTAGATACTGCCAGAGCACCTGTTATACTAGAGTTAAATTATATAGATCTATCCTCTCTAAAATTAAAAATATAACATTATATTATTATTTATTAATATTTGACTATATAAAGATCAAAGGGTTGTATATAGTTTAGGTGCCGTGTAGATACTGCCAGAGTAATTGTAATGCGTAGAATTAATCCTGATTATTATGCTCTCTTCTGCATAAGATACTGAGATCACACTGTTCATGGCTAAGATGGAATGCTGAGTTGACAAACTAGGTTGCAGAGTGACAACTGGTGTTCTTTCATTTTTATTACTACAATCTGAATGCAGACTTTTGTAATGAGAGATTTAAGCTAACTGGTTAAGAGGATTGTATAGAAATTTTTTTTAGTGTATTAGGGACACTCACTTCATCAATTTACACCATTATTATTTTTTATCAATGGTTCTTACAATTCCACTAAAACTAAGTTTTGTCTACCAACAGAGTTTTTGAACTATTGATATATAATAAATATACTACCAATTCACTCATGAATTGAAAGAGAAAAATTTCAATAATGAATTATTGAGGTTGTTTTTTATCAACCTGCTGTCAAAGTTTTTGTAAAGTTTGAAATTTTAATGTGTTTTTGACAATAATGGGTCTGTATTGTTTGAGTTTTTGTAGTGTTAGAAATATTCATGTGTTTTATTGAGGAAAATGTCATCTCAATGTATATCAGGTAACAATAAATAGGATGTGGTTTATTTTGAAAGAAATGTAGACTTGAGGATGAGTTTCTAACAACAGTTCGGTTGTTTAGAGTTTGTTAAGACACATGTTTACAAAAGATATATTTTTACAACACTGTAAACCTTATACCATTGTTCATTGTTGTCAATATTTAGAGTTGCAATGACAAAACTTGCAGATACACCATCAAAACTATGATTTATTTCACTATGATAGAATTACTTAGGTCTACCCTCCATCTAACAAATGTTGTTTTTTTATGTCGGGGATCGTTATCATCTAGGGATATTCAGGAATATCTGTTTGAAATAAGTTTCTCTTCCCTATAACTAATAAATAATTATAGTTACTTCGGTACCTAATGGAGCTCTTGCCAGGGGCCCAATGTCATTTTGGGTGGCTGATAATGTCTGAAATAATTTTGAACTTCTTCCTTATGTCTATAAGATGCCATCTTTGCAAGGATCTTTTAAGAGCTTGTTATCAATTGATGATATCTGTCCTCAAATATCTTAAGTATTTTGAGTGTCTACATCTAATGCCATTTGGTAAAAATCATCTTAACTGAAGACATGAACTGAAGGATCAGTCCTAAAAATAATTTGAGGGTCTTTGTCTCAAACTCTTTGATCAAAAATTCCCTCCAAAGTTGAAGAGATAAGCCTCGTCTCCTGGTATGTGTACGTCTATTGTTATATGATATATGATAGGTATAATGTCAAGTTTTTGTTCAACCTGACTCACTCCATTCTGAAATTCACCACATTTTTATCTTCCCTGTGAAATCTGATATTTTGATGTATTTGTTGTGAAAGAGAGACCCTAGTATTATGATATGAGGTCAAGGGTATGGATATTGTCTGGTCTGCCTGCTCTTTTTATTTATTATTCTTCAATTTAACGTGAATGGAAGTTATTTCCCTTTGATTATGGAGCTTGAATTTACGGCTCTTCAGTGTAAAAATGGCTTGCTTTCAGTTGACTGTCTATTCAAAACATAATTTATCATAATATTTAAAACTTGATCTTCTGTTTATTTATTCCTTTATTGAACTGAAGTTATCTCCCTTCAATTGGATAGTTGCACTAAAGTCTAGTTTGGTCTTCCCGAATTTTCATACAGTTGTCATTTGAATGTATACAGTTATTCTCTAGGTTATACTTCTTGGTTTATATTGTGCATCATTTTGTGCATGGATGTGAATTTCAGTGATTTTGATTTTTCTGGGATAAGAAAATTAGTAATAAGAAAGTGGTTGTCTCCCTTCGATTATTGCTGATTTCTTGAAATTTATTCTATTTTAGGCGACCTAAAACATTTTACATTCCTTCTTCATCCCTGTGGATTTTTTTTTTTAAACAGTCACATTTGAAGGTTTTTGTGCAGCAGTAGAACAATATTGATTCTTTCTTTACAGAAAACCTGAATTTCCTGTCTTTTTTCTGATCTTCCAGTCATCATAGAAAAAGGGGGCTGTCCCCTGTTTTTAGCTATTCTCTGTTCAGTGATCAACTTTTTCAGCTTTGAGTTTTCCAAGGTTTTATGTAGGTTAATCTGTTTATTTGTTTAAAACTAAAAAAGAAGACACCATGGCCAAGTCTCTCTCCCTTAAAGATAACCAAAAAACTTTTTAGGTTAAGCTCTGTTATTAGATCTCATGTTTTTAAAAGTTAAAAATAACAAACAACAGCAGCATGGAAGGAGGTTGAAAAAGAGACAACCCTGGCCAATTGTTCCTTCCCTCTAAGAAAAGAAAAAGATAGTTTTATTGAGGTTAATCTCTGTATTTAGATCTTATGTTTTTAAAAGTTAAAAATAACAGCAGGGTAGTTACAAGGAAAGATATTAGACAACCATGGCCAACTCTCTGTTTTTAAAAGTTTAAAAAAAACGACCTGAGGATAGTTACGAAGAAAGTTATAAGACAAGAATAAACAATGATTGGCAAGGTGATGTCAACTCTTACTTTCTCTCTCTCATTCACAGTAGACTGTGGTTTACTCACACTAGATTTAAGCCATGGTTCAACATTTTTGGCTCTGAAAGTACAGTTCTGGCCCCAAGGCCATAAAACATTTCTATTGCTCAGCCCAGTTTTTATTCAAATTTATAATGCCCCTCCATCAAGGACATGTAAAAATTAATGTGATAATGCCAGAAACATTGTACTCTAAGGAATAGATTGATATATATTTTCTTTGATACAGTCAGTTATACACCTGTAATAGCTGCTTCAAATTTGAGTAAAATCTCAGCTAAGTATGATTAAAAAGTTTTGTGACCCCAAGGCCTTATTGGGCTAATGTAGATGGACCATGCTACACAGTGCGATATGAGGGAAATATTGTCAGGGCAGTGGCATGAGCTCTCTCCAAGTGATGTACAGCCTGCAGCACACAGAGCCTCTTTATCACCTCTATAAACTAATACTGATACAATGTATTACAGTGTAACAGGTTGATTAGGAATGTGAAATATTTACCTATTAATCATTATACACTCACAATTCAATAAAATCACTGACTAGGTCAGGGTGAGTAGGCTAGATTATAGCTCCAGGGAATATCAATAATCTTCTCCTACCACATGGTAATAACTTGACACTATAGTTAGGTGTAAAACTCCATTCTCTTTCATCTACCTATTACTAACTAGGCTCAGAATTAGTAGATTACAGCTCGAGGAAATATCAATAAGCTTGGCCTATCACACGTAAATCACTTCAGAAAGCAGTCATTGTGGCCGCCTTTATATACGAAAACATAAAATTTTATTTCTTTGTGTCTCAAAACAAAATCACAACTTCAAAATATTTGCCTTGTTTATGGCGGTATTTTGAATGTCTGTGGTTTTTCGCCTCCACTGATTTGAGAGCAAAATAACTGATTAGGCTAGGTAAGGCTATAACTTTAGTTGAATTTTAGTAATCTATAGGTTAAAGTTTGTAACTAGCTTAGCTTAACTGTATATACCAAGACAGAATATTATTAATTTTAGCCTACCAGACTTGTAATAATTTGACACAATAATAGTTGGGTGTAAAACTCAATTTCGTTATATTTACCAATAGCTGAGAAGGCTTGAGGGAATATTATTACTCTTGGTGTGTCACACCTTTCAATCTTGGGGAACAGTTGGGTGTAAAACTCTTATTTCTTTCATTTACACATAGCAGAGTAGACTAGATATAATCGTGGCCTAGTTGGATGTAAAACTCCATTTCTTCAATTTAATTCAGTGTAGGCTAGATAGCCAATAGCTGGAAGGAATATCAATAATCTATATGGCTGTA